AGGGAGACGGGCGGCGTGCCCCAGCCAGTCAGGGTTTTGCTGCCCTGGGCTCCCAGGAGATCGCACAGGGCAGCAATCCCCACCACTGCGCTGGGGTGCAGCCCCCCTGCACAGGCTGCTGGCACACACTGGAAGGGGTGAGCTTGCATGTCCTGAGGGCGAGCCACAGCATACTATTTCAGGCAGTGGAAAACACATACTTACCTCCTCGAGTCATTAGAGAAGGAGAAGGAATGCATGCCAGCGGTGTGGCCTTTCAACTCAAAAGCCCTGGCCACCTCCCGGAAGTCTCCGTTCTTACCAAAACACACCTCCCACACTTTTACATCAGGGGTAAAGCCACAGGATGCCACAAACCTGGGTGAAAGACACAGGGTATCTGTTACAGACCACCTAATTCATCCGGGCCGTGGGGCCAGCCCTACAGAGCTCTCCTCTGGCCTCCTGAGCAAGGCAGGGCCCAGGGGCAGCCCTCCTGCACGGAGGGGTGCTGAAGACAGGGCTCTGCGAAGGCAAACCTATCCAAACACCTACGTTCATATCTTTGCTTTGGTCAGCTGAAAAAGTTTTCACTGAAACCGAGCTGGTAAAGGGAACACTAAGGAAGACCACCAGGGACCAGAGCAGCAACTCCGTAACTTGTGCATGAGAAACTCCCAGGGCAAAATAAAATAGCTACGTGCTTTTGGTCCCCAAACTCACTGAGCTTGGAGCATGGCAAGTCTTCCTGTAGCAACAAGTTAGAGTGGAGAACACAATTTTCCTGATAAACAATCTCTCAGTAATGAAGATTTTGATTTTAAAATTCATTTAAAAAACAAGTTAGAAATGCTGTTTTCTTTGCACATGCCATTTGCATTGTCCCACCTCCGCTATCTGAGGCCAATGCTGTTCTCCTCATCTCTTTAGCAGATGGTTAACAGGAACAGCAGTGCTGAGGCACAACAGCAACTCACTTGTTGAGTGTCTGAGACTACGCATGCAAGAGTCGGCACTACTGGAGGGGCTGCTCTCAGGGGCTGGAATAGCTTTTTTAAATGTGGAACCCTCAGAAAATTGCATTAAAATAAAAGCTAATTGCTGATGACCTGAACTGACGACATCCTCTGGGAAGGAGCATGGTTCCTGTTCACACCTGCAGACTCCCACTCTGCAGCAGGAGCAGCCTGGAATACCTCACACCACTCACCTTCCACAGGGCGACACAGTGGCATAGGCATTGTTGATCTGGTTAGTGTTAATGCTGGCCAGGACATCACCCTTCGGGCTCCATATCAGGATGGTCGTGTCACTGGAAGCTGTCATGATAAACTTTCCTGGGGGAAAAAGGCAAAGATCAGGAGAGCTCCCAAGTCTAGCTCTGCCACTGACTTATGAAAGGCCTGGGAGGGTCTCTGAGCAGGGCAACCTCTCTCTGCACCCGGACAGGCAAGAAAATCAAAAGCAGCAACAAAATTCAAGGAGTGTCAATCTCCCAGCACAGAGCAAAGAGCAATTACAGAAGACTTGGCTCATGGTTATACATTAGTGCACCCTTGGCTTCAGCAGCCATCGTCAATGGGCACTTGGAGACCACATGTGCTTCTCGCCCCAGCCCCCCTCCAATCCCACCTGCAGAGCTCAGCACTAGGCTGGTACCACAGGCATAACGCAACAGACTTGATCTTCCCCAGATGGTTAAAACACAACTTGAGGTATCTATAGTTTTCAAGTCACGGATTGCAGGCACGTAGCTGACTACAAGTCACACTACTATTATCCATGATCACTGGTTGTGTGTGCATTTTGGACTCCTGCTTGTTTCCACTGGCAATGCTTTCCCTTTTCCATCTCAGCCTGGACAGGGAGTTGCCTGTTTACCTTTCAGCTACTTGTTGCAGGTTTAAGTTTTCACTTTCACAGCTGCACAAAGGTCTCAGTTAACATTTTCTCTGCTCTCCTATTAACAGTAGTGAACTCACATCCACTCACTTCCAACTGTCACATTATTGGAAGTATTAATCCGTCAAACCCTCACCTCTAACACATACCCCCACACCCCTCTGTTCTAGAAGATCCCAGAAGTCCAAGATAGACCTAGAACTCAACTAGAGAGATTTTTGACTGGTTAAAGACAGACGGGTAGGCCAGAGAACAGCAATCCTCTCAATATTGAGACCAGACCTCTTTGTAACAGCATCCCTGAAAATGCAAATTAAGAGTCTGTGCATATCGGGGAACTAATTCTGTGCTTACAAGAATAGCGTCTGCCTGAAAATTACATCTTTCAGTTCACTCAGTAGTAAACAAAGGCTAAAAAGTAACATCGAAGAGGTTACAGAGAATCAAGTACTGTTGCAGAAACGGGCCTTGAGAATACCAACATTTCCAACACTTTCAGCCCAGCAGCTCTTGCTCTACAAGGATATCAAAGCTGATTTCAGCCTCAAGAAGTGAGCAGCTCATTTCCATACCTGTCTCTGCAATTCCTATGTTAATGACAGGAGCCTTGTGCTTCTTTGGGAAGTCCCCAGAAGTTGGAGTGAAGGTGAAGCTGCCATCATCCTTCTTAGTCATTTTATAGACACGAATAGTCTCGCCATTCGCCAGCCAAACAATGAATGCCCTAAGTGGAAAGACAGACATGCTGAACCATTGAGAAACATGCTACCTCAGCTCAGACTAGCTAAAACAGGTAAGCTAACTGGTCATTCAGTAGTGCCCTGGGAAAGGGATACACTGGCAGATAAAAAGCTGCGTGCTTTACAAAGGCACCAAGTTCTCTCCCTGTGTTAGCTCAATGGCAACACTGAATGGAAAAGATCAGAATTTATGACTCCACATTTGGAAACAAGATCCCTTCCTCTCTCTAAAAGACTCCAGTTCACAAAGTGCCAAGGCATGCTTTCCAACCAACCGCCCCAGCCAGCAAGAGCTCTCTCCCCAGCCCCCCAGAGAGTCTCAGCAGCTCAACCCAGCTGCAGAGCCTGCTGGCAAAGACCTTAACAAGCACCTTCCACAGGAGTGGCAGGCTGGGCACTGGGATATTTGCCCTGAGCACCACATCAAAGTGCCCGCTGCTTTCACGAATCAGTGGTACAATCAAGATCCTGCAAGGGAGGTAGCCCCTGCGCAGCCCAGTCCATGGGCCACCCTGGTGCCCCAAGCGGTCCCCGGGCTGGGTGAGGTGTGGGGAGGCCTGGCGCTACCGAGAGTCAGGGCTGAGGCGGACGAGCTCGGCGTGGTCCAGCCCCACGTTAGCGCGCAGGCAGCGGTGCTCGCGCGCCGTGAAGTCCCGCGTGCTCCACAGCCGGACCGTGCGGTCATCGGCACACGACGCCAGGTACTTGCCGCTGCTGCTGAAGTCCAGGCAGGAGACAGAGCCGCTGTGGCCCTGTGGAGAGAGTGCGGTCACAGGGGGACAGAGGCCGCATTGGCGGGACAAGAGGCGCCAG